GAAAGAGTGAAAAAAAGAAAATTTTCAGATAATTATATTCAACATCATCAAAAGCAGATAAAAAGTTGAAAGAAAAATAAATAATAATAATAATAATAATAAAGAATTGTTGAGGTTGCTCTGTTTTTATTGGTTTTGTGCAAGACAGCCTCACACAATTGCAAGAAAGTTATGGAAGACTAACATTCAACATAAAGCAGATAATAATAACGCAAGATATTACATAAATTTTCCTAGTGAATTCAGGCTAAACATTCAATAAAACGGACCAATGAGCTGCAACAACCCCCATTGCAGCTCTACAATTTCCAATTCTATATACAACAATTATCATCCAAATAAGCAACAATAGCTCCTCCATCCTTTTGGTAAACTCAGACAGAAGCGCCATTATCCGAAGACACAATATTATTCAAGCAACGGCTACCATCTCAGCAGCAACTTCATAAGCCCAGTAAGGCTTATTCAATTTTTCGCCATTCTTAACGGGGTAAGAAGCCTCCATTGCAATTCCGCATTTTCCAGTGCGTGTGTCAACCACATTTCTCTGTATTTTGATGTATCCCTCCTCACCCCACTTGGGGCCCCACGAGTTCCTAACGAGCCAGTAATCCACACCATTCTCCGTGCCGTATCCGACCACCACCACGCCGTGGTCAAGGGCCACTCCACAGCGACCGGTGAACACGCCCTAAATAGATTAAAAGTGAACGAATTAAGCTACAAACTTACTTCATATTTCTTTCCTACCGAAAATTGTGTAGTACTCAACCAAACAAATGATTCAATTTCACGCCTCGCTATTACAAATGTACCGAAAATTGCTTTTACCAAGATTTTCCCATGCCAGACTCATTATTCAGTTCATGTTTTTCTCTTCATATTAATTGATTTGTAAGTGACTTACAGATTCATAGAGCTGAAGAGCTCTACCACCAGCTTCAATGGCAACACTGACAGGCTGATGAGCCACAGCCTTTTTCAGTGCCTTCTCATCATAAGCGGGAACATCCTCGTACCCATCAATGGTTACAGCCTTCTTGTTCGCCTGCAACAATAATATCCAACAATGATCAACTGATCTCGAATACACACACACATACGTTAGCAACACCAATTCTAATCGCAACTTTTATATCGACTTTGAAAGTACTAACCAAAGAGAAGTCACATTGGCCGTTTAGGCCAGAATAAGGGTAGTCAGATTCGGGGGCGATGCCGCCATTCTTGACAATGAACTCGAAGGCATAGTCCATAAGGCCTCCGTCACAACCAGCATTGTAGGCTCTGTCACAGTCGACGAGCTCTTGTTCTGAGAGAGACACTAGCTCTCCCGTCACTATCTTGTTTATGCCTTCCACTGCTGCTATGGTTGAGAATGCCCAGCAACTTCCTGCTCACCAAACCACCTCGTCAAATTCAAAAGTATAGAATTTTGTAGTGCATTTACGAATAAAGAATCAAGTGAATAAAAATAAGTTTGTGATGAAAGGAATCGAGTTTTTGTAGGATTGAATTACATTATTTGATTAAAGTGTTCACTGACCTATCAAAACTAACATTCTAGTGGATTTTTTATTTTGTTTTGGTTTTATATAGATGTTCTGGTGGAATTAAATTCTTAAGGAAATAAAAAAAATTAGAATAATAATAATTGTGCCTAAAAAAATAATAAATGTGGTTACAGAAATACTCTCATATGAGGGAAATTATTAAACCAAAATAAGGGCATGCTCAATGAAGGTGATTACTCCTGCCCTGTTGCGATCTCTAGCGGGAACTTTTCGTTATTAGAGTTGGGCCTTTCTGCTATGAAATTAAAGTTAAGGGTAATCTTAATAAATCCTCTTTGAAAGTGTATAAGTCAAAATTTTTATTCTTTATTTTTAATTCATAATTTTTTTAGTTAAATAATTACACTAATAAAATGATATTTATCAAGAATAAGAGATAAAAATTCAGATTCATACATTTTTAAGAATAAATTCTCTATTTTTTTAAAACTAACTAGAGTCCACAAGAACAAACTCTGTTTGGTCTGAGTTTAAGAGGGGCCCTAAATAGTAAGTGGGGCCAAACTTTGGTCGAAAATCAGGAGAATGTAAAAAATAGTAGATTTATGAAACTAAATTAAATAAATAGTAAATTTTAAAACTATTTAAAGTAAATAATAATGTACCGTGTAAATGTTTTAATTATGACTAGTAAAAAGATATTTTTTTCACGTAAATGATCTTTTTATAATTGCTAAAAAGATTTTTTTCCACATAAATAAAAAATTTTTACCATGTAAATTATTTTTAATAATTGTAAATGACACATTTATATGTTAAATTGTTATTACTTTAAATAAATTTATAATTCACTATTTACTTAATTTAGATTACAAAAATTTGCTATAATTTATGCTGAAAAGTCTAGTATCCACCAACCAACAGTCCAATCTAAACTATTAGTTTCTCTCTCTTTTTTATTTGAGAGATTCTCTAATATGTCTAGTGTACTGATAGATTATATTTTTTTAATTATTAAATTTATATATTTTTTAATTTTTATGTGATTTATACTGATCTAATAAATAAAAAACCTAATTTATTGATAAGGTCCTTTTTATTTATCTTTTTTCCTTTTTCTGTTAAATTTAGAAACCCTTTCCTCATTCTTTTCCCCCTCCTCAAAGTAAGTGGAAACAAAAATCTTCAAAAATTTGTTGGGGACTTTTGCATTGAATATCTGAGAGTTGTTTTTTAATTGATATAAAATGATTGTTTTATCTTATAAATTAAATCTAAGTACAACTTTTAACATCAAATAAGATTCTGTTCATTTTACCGATTTAAGTTTAGAATTTAAATTTTATTACAATAAAAAATTCTTAAAAATAATTATATCTAACTTTTTTATTACAGTAACACATAAAGTCACATTTTAACTTAAATTAAAAACTCAATTATCAAACTAAACGGCGCTAAATTCACATTCAAAAACAATAAAAAAAACTCAACGATTTTAATTTATTCTCTTAAAAAAGTGAAAAGAAAAGGGAAAAAAAAACTAACCGCAACTTCCTTGATCCTTGACGGGATTAACAGCGCCGTTGAGCTTCCAATCGACGGTTTCCGGCAACTGGTCGGCGGCGCGTGAGGCGTACCTCCGGCTAGGGCTCTTGGCCTTCATGACTATCCGCTTGGCGTCGGATCTGGTCCCCAGCATCTCCCTCCGGTACTCCTCATTGGTCATGTCGGCGAACCTGTTCATCCCAACCTTGTACGTCCTTTTCTGTACGGCGTTGTGCTCGTCCACGAACCTCAGATTATCCTTAAAGATCTCGAACCTTGTCTCCTCCTCTCCCAGCCCGTTGTGGGCTCTCCCGTGCGTCGCCATCCACTTTACGTACATCTCCCTAACTTCCGCGTCGCTTCTGCCGCTCGTTAATGGCGGTAGTGACAGAGCAAAGCAGAGGATGATCATGTATATGGAGAGAGCCATGTCTTTGAGTAACTGCTTAGAAGAAGGGGAAGAAAGAAGAAATGAAGATGGTGAAGATGATTTTTGATGGATGGATTTTTTGGGAATGGAAGGGGGGGATTTATATAGGGGCGGGGGTGATATGGAATGGGGATGGCTTTTGGAATGGAGGGAAAGTTTTTTCTTTTTAATATAAACAAGTGGTGGGAATAATAGTGGAGAGAGAGAAGTTAGAGAGAGAGAGAGAGAGAGAGATGGGTTTTAAGTGGCGTAAACAGATGCAAGATGGAACAGTAAATATGTGGTCTCGTGGCCGGTCATTGTTGGTTAGTAGACTTGGTAGGCTGGTAGTTTTTAACAGATGATAACGGGACCAAAGGCTAGAAATCTTTGAAATCTAGAGGGAGAAAGAGAGAAAGAGAGAAAGAGAGAAAGAGAGAAAGACAGAAGAGAAACCATTTTTTTTTTTTTTTAATGAAAGATGACGAAGTTAAAATTAATGCAAACCGAAAGTAGTGTATTTGCTTAACAGATTGGGCAAACGAGTCTTGGCCACGTTACTGCTTTTACTGGTTGCTTAGAGGCAGAGGTTTTGTTCTTAAAAAAAAAAAAAAAAACTGCCAGCCAAAAGTTGAAGTGTGTGCGTGTCTGCAGAGGGCTTAGGACTTTTTATGATTCTGGTAAAAGAGAAAGTTATGGGTTTTTCCTTTTTCATCCGTTTTCTTCTTTCTTTTACGATGGTTATAGATTATAGATATATAGATATAGATAGTTCCACCGTTTGTCGCATCAAACGGTTGATTTAGCCTTGGTGATCGTCTGTTTGTAATTTTCCTTATTCCTTTCTCTCTCTGTAAGACACTGCAATTAAAGAGGAAAAAGGAAAAAATGGTCTTTTTCATTCCATATCAAAAAAAATTCTTGCCAAAATACCCTGTTCCACCAGTAAGTGTGGGGGAAAAATTTCCGAAAACATCATTGACGTTTCAAAAATAAGTTCAGTATTAAGTTGACGTATCCAAGTTTTTTTTTTTTTAATTTTGTGAATAATATATCAACCTTTTTGAGGAATAATTAACAACATATACTGCTCTTTGTCAAAAAAGAAAAGAAAAATAAAACTATTGGTACTAAAATCTCAATATAACCGTTCCAAAAAAAAAAAAAAAAAATCAATACATCCACCAATTTCTTCAATTACCGTCATTTTTATCCTTATTCCTCTACATTGAAAAAAGGAATAAAAAATGTCTGTTGTAACTTGTAACTCGTAACTGATAACGTACCGTCTTTTTTTTTTTTTTTTAGTTGATCAACTGATAACGTATTTGATAACTCAAGTTCCCTAAAAGTTGGATTCAACCACCGGTCAGAGGAAATCGGTCAAGAAATATTACTGTTCAAAATACCACTCGCTCATCCATTACGTTCCAAATTCCAATATGTGATTTGAAAACTATGCATTTGTTAAAAAGACAACTCAATATTCAAATTTGTATCAGACTTCGATGTCATTTCTTAATTTATTTACGATCTTCATTTAACCGATTTAAATTTTTAATTTTTATATTTAAAAATTCTTAAAAGATATCATATCTAAACGAGGCCGTCATTTCTTCAAACCAAAATCCTCTGTTTTCTCAACAGTTACTGCTTAATTTCAAATTGTTAACGTCGTCTCCTGAAAATTCCACGTTCCGCTTCATTAATTTCCGGAATGGTGAAGAATGAAGATGAGAGTTATATCAGAATATATATATATATATATATATTAACAACACCAAATTCCAATTTTCGGTTGAATTCCACTAGATGATTCCACAATTTCCAAAGTATGATCTCTGTTCCAACTTGTTTGGGAAAGGAAAAAAGCAGATATATCCACCGCACATCAAATATCACAGTTATCACAAATTACGGCCGCCCAAAGTTTTCCAGTCAGAAAAATGTTTCCACCTATTTTTCCGTGAAACCCCATTTTTTAAAAAATTTCTGTTTTTCCATGCATAATGACGTCACAATACCTGCTTCCACTTTTATTTATTTATTACAGAACAATTTCCAATGCCAAAAGAGAACAGGATTAACACTTCAGATGTGGCAAAGAGATTCATACCTTGCACATGCAAAGCAAAGAGATTCATACCTTGCACATGCAAAGCAAAGAGATCATCACAGGTCACACCGACTAATGGGCAAGTTGCAGAGAACTCTCTCCGCACGTTGGCCGAGTGATATCAGTTGGGACCAATCTGTAACCGTCAGATTTCAGTTTGGCAGCATGGGCAAACCAGTCTAGGACCAGACAGAAAGCCATTGGTTTTGAAATGAATTATGCAAGTTTTTTTATTATTACATTTTGTATCTTTTCTTTCTACGGAACCCAACAACCAAAAAAAGAAAAAAAAGAAAAAAAGGAACAGAGTACACAAACACTATAATCCCTATCTTAGAAGATTTTATGTATAAAACTCGAAGCACATTTGATACAAATTCCTACAAAGGCAGCAGACCCAGCAAAGACTACTTTGTTCACATGCCTCTTCATGAGACCATAAAATCAATCACCCCAACGAAAAAAATATATATATTAAAAAAAAAGGGTAAAGAAAAAAAAAATTTGTGAAACTTCGGTGAAAATCAGACTCAAAGTGCATATGGATCAACTGGTTGTTATGAGAGGAGCGTTCACACATGCACAGTGAGAGCATCGGCTTTCTCTCCTTGCCAATGCAAATTCTTTGATGTCTCAAATTCACACACCAGCTTTTGCGGTTCTTTTGTACTTGGTGATGATTTCCTCAGTTTTGCTCAGCGTGTCGTGTGGAAACCTGCGTGTCTACCGTTCTTGTGTCGTGCTTTCTCTTGCTCCGCCGTTTCGATCTGGGCGACCTGGTCTTCGTAGAATGCTTCACCACATGCTCTTGGATTCCCATCGCTAGATTTTCAGTTGCTGGGAGTTCAGGAGGAGCATCAGGCCATGGGGTGCGTTTTGCTGGTACGGTGACGTCCAAAGGAGGGTCGATAACCCATCTGTCTCACGTACAAACTAATATTAACTCGAATGCAGAGGAAAGAAAATCTCTCATAGGGAAACAGAAGTAATGAATTTATGTCTCGTTGTTTTTACACACGAACAGATTATTAAGCATTTCTGATGATATTTCTTGTTATTTATTCAAGTAGATGAGTTCAAGAAAAGGATTACAGCGAAACACCTAAACATAAAGTTATATATGATATAAGAAGGATATAAATTATAAATAAAAATATGAAAAAAAAAAAAACAAAAAAGTGATAAGTAATTTTAGTATTTTAAGGCCCCATGAGTCAAGCGAAAGATAAGAATGCCTTTTGATTTTCAGAGAATGGTATAAAACTACAATAAGAAATATCCAAAAGAGAACAAATGCAAATTATCGCCGCTCCACCGTCTAACCGCAAGAAATATGGAAAACTTCTCGAAAACACAACAAAATTTGTCGTTAAAATGCTAAATGGGTTGCAAAAAATTCCAACTAGATACCACCATAAGCCTATATAAAGAAGTATCTATTTTGGACTGGCATACAAATGTAATCAATCAAGCAAAAGAAAGACTCGATCAAATAAGAACAATCAAAAGCTAAATAGATCAAGCAACAGTGTGTGTATAAATTAATACTTTTAGAACCAAGAAAAATCTAGTTATTAAACAAATATTAATTGATCGATAAATTAATAAATTATAAATCTATAAACATACTTTGTTTTCTTATTTTGTATCTAAGCTTTTGTAGTAATTGAGCGAATTATGAAATTTTATTTTACGAACTAATGTCTATTCTGTAGTTTATTTAAGAATTAAAATTCATACTTTTCTCAGAAGTATTCATTTTTTCAAAAATATAAACGTAGACCTTCGTGCTACATTATTCTATTTTATGAACATTTTGACCAAACAAAAGTTGATGCATCAATTCCAAGAAAAAATACAGTAAGTGGGTCTTATGAATCTACTTAGATACATGTTTTACGAAGGCCTTCTAGACATCTCATATGAATTTAGTTGCATATTAGACGACTTATGAATTTACACAGTAAGTGTGCCTTATGTGAAACTATAAGGGATTCTTTTTCCTAATAATGTTTTACCTTGTAAATTTATCGAATTATTAATTTAGCACGTCGCCCCCAAGTCAGAACCAGGAAAAAAAAACATTATTTAAGAGATTATTGATATATCGAGTATTTATTCTTTCCATGTTGTACTATATATATATATATATATATATATAGATACATACATATACGGGTTCTTAAATACTGTGGAATATGAACCAGTCCTGCATTCAAGTCTGTTCTGGCTCAGCATTTACACACAACAAAAAAGGTATGTTGGGGTAACTAAAATATTTTCGTCATGCCACCTTATCCATAACTATACTAGTCATCGTTAATTTGTTTGCAATTCATTTGCAAACAGAGTTGCACTCGTCTCCATACCCAATATTTCTGAAGTTCATTACTTTCCAGCTCTCGACATTAATGAATATGCAACTCGACATGAAATATCCAGAACACTAGCAAACCTCAAAAGTTCACATATGATGCTTCTACCAGGAACGGTTTATCAACTTTATAATATCTATCATACGCTCTAATAGAATTTTCAGATTTAGCAAAGAGTGAGTTGGATTTTACTAAAACACGAAAAGAATTGGATTTATCTCATATCTCTTGCAACTTAATGCAACATAAAGAACCAAAGGTAACTAAAAGACCCCTCTACTATGCCTAAACATCTTAACATTGGTTCACATGACAAAAGCAATTCAGACAATCAATCAACTGTGACTTCTAACACTGACAGTATGTTAAGCTCAAAATGTTTAAGCATCAAGATCAATATATCAACGTCAAAGCATTAATGCTTAAAAGCTGGTTTCGTCATGGACATATTTGACATCCGGACGGCCATGGCAAAACTGGCTTCCTCTTTAAGATCTGTACAGCAGGTGCTACCATGCTGGACTACGCTTAGACCGCCATAAAGACTAAAAAGGCAACATTATCCCAGAAGAAAAAAAAAAAAAAGATTTTTAGTTAAACATTCTAGCCCAATGACTCAAATGGTAGAATGAGCTTGCTTCTATTCCAGGCCATTAAAATTCCAACACTATGTTTGCCTAAAAAGAAAAGCCACGCATAGTTCAAACACTACCCGGTAAAAGAAGTTGTGAACAATTAAGCCTTTTCCTTTAGCTCCTTAACTGCTAGTTAGTTTTCCCTTTTTGTTAACTTTAGTTGATTAATCCCAAACTCTTCACAACAGCTTCAAGTCAATAAGTTCGCATTTGCGACATGGTAAACCTCTTCTACTGCGAGGACATTCTAAGTATTTTAGCTCCAATTCTACTTGAAAGTTAAAACTATAGCCCCTATGACTAGCAAATAGACATATGACTAGCGATCTCACCCTTCAAATATGTGATAAATCCAGCCCATATCATTAATATACTCATGAATTCATTAAGACAAATCCATTCTAAAGCCCAACCACTGAATTTTGTTGTTCCTAACTTTACTGTCAGAATTAATATACTGTCATGAATTCATCAAGACAAATCAATTCTAAAGCCCAACCACTTAACTTTGTTGTTGCTAACTTTACTGTCAGATAATCTATTAATTGCATCAAATCACTTGGGACTGATTAAAGCAAAGCAACAACATTAATTAAATGATACAAGACTTACCTGGAGGGGAACTTGCTATCAAAGCAAGCTTCGCCACGGAGCCCATATCATTAATATACTCATGAATTCAGTAAGACAAATCAATTCTAAAGCACAACCACTTAACTTTGTTGTTGCTAACTTTACTATCAGAATTAATATACCGTCATGAATTCATTGAGACAAATCAATTCTAAAGCCCAACCACTTAACTTTGTTGTTGCTAACTTTACTGTCAGATAATCTATTAATTGCATCAAATCACTTGGGACTGATTAAAGCAAAGCAACAACATTAATTAAATGATACAAGACTTACCTGGGAGGGAACTTGCTATCAAAGCGAGCTTCAACACGGAGCCACCAGATCAAAATTTGGCGCCCACAACTTCCAAGTGGCTCTACCATGGAAGGGTCCTTCAACAAGAATAAGGGGTTCTCTATATTCTCACCAACTCCATCTAATTCATCCAGATCCTTGACCCACTCTGGCTGGTTCTCAGCTTCCTTCCAAAGCATCCTGGAATTCAACACGAATCCGGCCCACTCGAGCTTCCTTGGTAGCACCGTTGCCCTATCGTCAATGTAAATTGCTTTCTTCCCCGCATACGGCAGCGAATTAAAGGTGTGCCAGCCGATTAACTTGTTTGATGAGTTACAAGCAGGGCCTTGAACAGGCATTGGCAGGTTTTGCTCATCATCCTCCTTTTTCTGCGTTGTAGAAACCGACGACTCATCAATTTCACCCGAATGAGCAAGAATCCCAATTGAAAGAGCACCGAACCACTTAACATTCTGGATCTCATCAAAGAGTTCCATACTGTGCATATTACTGTCGTCTGCAAACATCACAATCCCATCCAGGTTCTGTTCCCTTATAGTTCTGTTCCAACACAGACCCAATGAATCAGTCAATCAGATTCCACGCGAAACAAATCAACCTAAACTCTAATGCACTTAACTTCAAAGCTTAACTGTAAACCATAACATAATCTTTCCCAATTACTAAACTTTCTTAATCAATTACCATATTATCCTAAACTTTCTAATGTAGCATGTTTTCCCGGATTCTATCTAAATTTGTGAAAAACTACCAAAAAGAGAAAAGAGTGAAGACAAAGTCAAACTGAACTGAGCAAAAGAATGAAGAATTATTCACCTCAATCCACGAAGCCTCATCCGTGCCTCCAGCCGGTGGCGACCTTCCCAGGAATTCGGCATCCGCTGGTCGAATCCGACATGAACGGTCCGAAGACCAGACTTGGCAAGGATCAAAGCCGTCTCGTTCGTTACTCCCCCAGCCTCCACCACGATCCAAACGACATCGTAAGGCACCAGCATCAGAGAATGCATCAGTCCGGTCATATGAAGCGCCTGGAAAGTCCGGACATAAGTCGGAGTCACCACGATCACCGTCCTAGGGTTCTTAACGCCAAATTGTCGCCTTTGCTCTCTCTGGACCGTGTCGATGATCTGGTGCGCCTTCATCACCTCAGTAGGATTAGGGTGCGGCCACGACCGGATTCGGATCCCGTGCCGGCCGACCACCACGCGGCTGCTGGAGCTCGCCGTGACGCCCAACGTCGTCGTCCTATTCAGAGGGAACTCGACTCCCGGCGATGTATCTCGGCGGTGGAGGTCCAAGGGCCCGCTGAGCTCGGCGACGGAGCGAAACGGCGACGTATAGATGTTAGTTGAGGAAGTGGAGAAGAGGAAGAAGAACACCAGGCGAGAGAAGCGGAATCCGAGGACAAGACTGATGAGGCAGCAGAGCCCGTGGAGCACGAGCCAGAAGATCGTCGCCGGCGACCTGATCGAACCGTCCGCCGACGAATCCAACGGCGCGGATCCTCTGAAGCTGTTGCTCCGCCGGTTCGTGTAGCTCTGCTGCAACGCCGAGAGCTTCATTTTCTCTCTCTCTCTCTCTCTCTCTCTATTCTACCAGAGAGAGAAAGTTCAGAAAAGATTGTGAAGGTTCAGAGAATTTCTGTTGAGCTGCTTTTGAAATTGAACCTTCGTCTTCAGAAAATTTCTGGTTTATCACTGTGTAGAGAGAGAGAGAGGAGGAGAGAGAATGGAAATGGGGGATGGTGGTGGAAGGTGAGTGGTGGGTTAAGGAGTGGTTTAATCCAAGATTTCTTCGAGTTCACGGATGAATCGCTTTGATTATCATTACTAATCCGTATTTCTGTTCGTCTTCTTTATGTCTATAGTTTTTCACAGTCAAAAGAGAGAGAGAGAGAGACATAGGCCCATTAAATCAGGGACCTAAGTCTTGGGCTGGACTAATAAAGAAAGGGGAAATAGTAGAAAATATATCAATATAAAAAATTTAAGAAAGTATATCGGTCAATTTTTAGTTATAGAAATTAATAAGTCATAATTTATCAAGTTATGATTCATAATTAAATAAATTATAGATAAACTTATCAAGTTATGGTTCATAACTAGACAAGCTATAGACAATTATGGACAATAACTTGTCAAGTTATGGTTCATAACCAGACAAGTTATAGACAAAAACAATAATTTGGCCTATTTATTAACTTATGTAAACTATTAGCCTATTAATTTTAATTCATCTCAAATCTTGGCATATTTTCCTATTTCTCCCATTCAAATCTAAAATATGGTCGCTCTTAGCCTCTTACGCTTTTAATATACGCATAATATATGCAAGATTTCTTTCTTTTTTTCGGGGTTTTTTTTTAGCGCGTTTGGCTAATTTTCATCACTTACTCATTTAGTTCGCTGATTCGAGTTTTTAATTCAAGTTGAGATGTGACTTTATGTGAGAGCTTTTTACTGTAATAAAAAAGTTAGATGTGACTGTTTCTGAGAGCTTTTTACTGTAACAAAATTTAAATTCTAAACTCAAACCGGTGAAATGAACGAGACCTTAATTTAAAAAAATTATTATGTCATGCCACATTTTATTAACAATCGTTAACTTAGTGCACAAAAAAACCAAAAATCGTCACACTTCGACTAAAATTTCTGAATCTCAATTTAAACTGTATACAAATTAGTTAAATATGTAAATCAATACTTAAATCCAGCTCAAAAACAACAAAAGTAAAGCACCTTGTGAGCAAGTTAACAAGTTGATGGGGTGAAGTGTGAAAAAATAAAAAATAAAAACTTTAAGAGACGAGTTATTAACAACTCATTCACTTTGCGGATTCGAGTTTTCAATTCGAGTTAAGATGTGACATTTTCTGAGAGCTTTTTACTGTAGCAGAAAAAGTTAGATGTGACATTTTCTGAAAACTTTTTACTGTAGAAACCTAAAACTGAAAACTCAAATCAGTTAAATGAACGGTGCCTAAAACTCAAAAAGTTTAGGGCACAAAACTACTAAAAATCTTTTTTTTTTTTTTTTACATTATCGTTTTGCTTTATTTAATGTGGGTGATAATAAATAAGTCAGTAGTTGATCAGGGAGTGAGCGCTAAGGTGTGTGACAAAGACGGACAACCTGGGGCGTAAACAGCCTGGTATTATTGGAAGTGTACGTTTTAAATGGGGATTAGATTAGACAAGTGTCTGATCTAAGTCTCATGCACGAAACCACTAATCACACGCGTTTAGTTAGTGGATTAGTACCACAATTTAAATCATAATTTATGGTTTATTATAATATTTATTTTCATAAAAAATACACATAAATAAAAAATGAGTCTGAATCATAATTCTGAAGTTATGAACTAATCATGATTTTCAGGACATTTGAGGATAATTCAGAATAGCAAGAATTGACTAATTATCATGCTGATTTGGGGCGAATATAGGAATACATGCCACGGTTTCTTAAACATCTGCCTTAAGTTGTTGGCAAACAAGAGGAAGAAAAAAAAATAATTCTGTGGTTAATAAATCAGGTTTGTTGAGATCCCACAAGAGCACCAACTAATTCCTTTTTTTTATTTTCATTTTTCAGAATATTAATAGACGTCTTCTAGTTGTTGTTTATTTGTTTATTTTTATTTGAAATCATTTAGGCCATGTTCATTTCGCTGATTCGAGTTTAGAATTCGAGTTTTATTACAGTAAAAAGCTCTCACAAACAATCACATCTAACTTTTTTGCTACAGTAAAAAGTTCTCACATAAAATCACATCTCAACTCGAATTAAAAACTCGAATCAGCGAACTAAACGGGCTCTTAGAAATGGACAATTTTTTTTTTCTAACAATGTGGGGATAGGAAATGGCGGGATAAAAGAATATTCATACGGTTGTGTCTACCTCCATCCTAATATACATATTTTAAGGAATTCTACATAGTATTTATTTTTCAAAAATATGTTTTGTATTAACTAAAATCTTGATATTGTTTTCTGTATATCTTTTTTGGAATTTACTATGTAGTCTTTTTTTTTTTTTTTGGTAAAAACATTAAACTATGATTAAATTTAGGATAAATTTTGTGTTACTTTTTTTTTTCATTTATTAAAAATTTTGTAATGATAAGCGTTATAATGAGAATTGAACAAGTATGGTGACGGCCCTCCTAACGGAAATTTACCGACTCCATCCTCACCTCTCCTTAGGCGGGGACGGACATTATTTTATGGGGTACAAATGAAGATAGGGAAGCATTCTCCAACCCTGTCTTGTTGCAGTCCCTGAAGTCATCTAATTACTAGTAAATAAGTAGTTACAAAATTATTCAGCACAAAAAAAAAAAAAAAAAAAAAAGTAGTTACAAAATTAATAGATGACCATAAATCTTACCGCGGTCAAGTTCAAGCATTTGCGTATGCGACTTATATATAAAGCATGTTCTTTTCTGCCTAGCTTAAAATCTAAATTAGATTGTTTCTCGTGGCAAAATCCAAACCCATTTATTCTCAAATGTCAAAAAAAAAAAATAAATAAATAAATCTGAACCCAGTTGATAGATTGAATGCATGACACTAATGTTGAGCTAGTGGCAAAAATCGTACTAGTCAGCTTCGAAAAATCAGGTGATACTTTGCTAAATGCTTGCGTTGTTAACTTGTTATATATGTAGAAACCATTTTCATAGTAGAGAATTGATCTCCAATATTGTTCAACTTGTTTTAACATTTTAAAATGCTTCCAATAAGTGATTGACTGATTGCAAATTCCATGAGTCAATTCTATGAAATTATTGCAAATTGTAGAATTCTATTTTTCTTCTTCTTTTTAACAATATTCATTTATATTTAGATAGTGTTAAGTTTTCACTAAGATTGAAGTCTGGTCTTATACTTGTAAGAAACAAGATTGAGGTACAACATAGTATTTATTTTATATACTAATAACTTTGAAAATGTATAACAAAAAAAGAATCTATTCAGTTCTCAAATTAGTGTTGATATTTTCGAAGTCATTTTTTAGATAAAATAAAGATTAATGCTTTATTATATCTCAACTTACACATATTGTTAAACGTGTAAAACTGATCCTTTTATATGGTAGACTACTTTGTTTTTCTCTAATAGTAGTTATAAATATAAAGTTAGTTCCTCGTTGGTCTCACTCATTTGAGTTGAGAATTTAAGTTAAAAAGTGAATTCATGTAAGAGAAAATACTGTAAAAAAAAGGTTGAATTTGAATTCTTTGTGAAAAAAAACGCTAGAGTAAATTTAAATTGTGATTTGAACTAGCAAACCGAACGGGGTCTTAATACACAACAACGATAAACACAGCTAGTCCCTGAACAACTAACCGTCACGTGTAAAACTTGAATAGGTTCTACTTCTAGCAAAATGGTGATTGCAAACACCAAATGGAATAAACAAAACATGCCTAAAACACGGTTTAAGATGATGAAATGTCACTATTAAAAATGGAACAAAATCCTCATGAGTCCAAATAATTAAGGCTGTCTGAATAGGTAAGAGTACAAAAGAGATAACAAGTTTGGTGGGTGGTTAAGCTAGCTGGTTACCAACGCGACACTTGATCTATAGTTGTTTCCTTCACAGGATGGCAATGATCTATCCCAGCCTGAAACACAAGAATGAAGAGTTGTGATCACCTGTGCCGCGAACCATTTGGCTGCTACTTCAAGATTCTCCTAGGTCTTACAATCCAACGCGTTGTAATATGACCTTATGATCTCCTAATGCAGTAGAATTTCTCTTTTCAAAAGCTTCACTTCTAAGGGAGAAAAGGAACCTGATCAGTCCATATTTGCTGGCACCAACCAACTTAATTATCACCCTTTTGAGTGCTATATATGTTGTTCAGGCTTAGTTTAGCAAGGTCAAAGAAACTTAAGCCGTTGGCCATCAGAATGATGTCTGCAATCTTTTAAATTTTGGTCATATGTATGAAATTTGATCTGGTAGCCTTAGATGGTCGTCACTAAATCCGCATTCAAATGTTTCGGTCAAAGAAATTAATAACGCGACAATATAGCTCATCTAAGGGTGACTAAGGATAATTCAAAATCAGAAACAAGAAAAAAAGAAGACGCTTTTTTGAAATAGAGAATTTGATTAATGCGAAATTTTCATTCACTCAGAGAATTTTCCAAGAAAATGACAAGCTGCCAATCTAGATTATATTAGCTAGCGACCGAAATGTGCCAATGCCATTGTACCAATTGAATTTTTCTCTTTTGTTTAATCATGTTTTCTGCTAGGATTCTAGAATTTATGCAGTCTCGTGTCCCACTCCAATAATCTAGACAGGAAAGAATTTGCATCTTATGGCTTAAGAATGAAACTAGGGACCTTTCTTTAGTCACAGATTTCTTAAGGAAACTTCTCTTTTCTCATGCAAAAACTAGAAAGAACTTGAATTTCATTAGTCAATATCGTGCCAGCTTGACATTTGAGCATGTCCCAAAAGTCCTTTCCAAACTAGGAACCTAAAAGATAGAGAGAGTTTGCAACTTAAGCAAACTTTCTCTTATGCCCCACTTGATCACCTTGATACGCCACAGCTTTATATCCTTTTCTGATATAACATACATATACACACATAATTATATGTTAGACCAGACACATCCAATAATATACATAACGGTTAAATCAACTATGTTTAAACATAAATAAAAAATGATCTGACTAAAATGCGGAATAATCAAATGAACACAGCGACATAGTTATTTAACGTGGCCAAAAACCCTTTCAGAAAAAAAAAAATAGCCGTATTTAGAATTGATCCCGTTTTTATTTTTCACGTTTTTTGAGGAAAAAAAATGAA